TAACCCATGATAGAGTTTTTTGTAATCCATGATTGAATTTTTTGTAATCCATGATCGAATTGTTTTTTCTTTTTTGTAATCCAAGATTAAATTTTTTGTTTTTTTTTTTGTTTTTTTTGTAATCCATGATCGAATTTTTTGTAATCCATGATCGAATTTTATGTAATCCATGATCGAATTTTATGTAATCCATGATCGAATTTTTTGTAATCCATGATTGAATTTTTTGAAAATATGTGATTTTTTTTTTTAATCCATGATCGAATTTTTTTTTGTAATCCATGATAGAATTTTTGGAAAATTTGTGATTTTTTTTTTTTAATCCATGATCAAATTTTTTTTTGTAATCCATGATAGAATTTTTTGAAAATTTGTGATTTTTTTTTTTTAATCCATGATTGATTTTTTTGAAAATTTGTTTTTTTTTTTTTTAATTCCATATTATTCAAAGAGAAAATGAGAGAGATGATGATTATGAGGCCGCCCTATCCCAGCCATATTATTCACATATCGAGTCCCAACAGCAACAGTGTAGCGATGAGCACGACAGTGCAGGTGAGCATGAAGGATGGACAATCTTCGGGGATTTTAGATTGGGAACACAACAAAACACTAACACTCAGGGATTTGAGAATATTCAGACGCCTGCTAATATCGATGATTCGTTTTTAGATTGAATTAATGAATTGTTAAACGAATTCAATCAATGACACCAGCGTAACCAAGAAGAACAATAACGTCGTCTATCATTTTATTTTTAGATCATATGTTACTAATTTTATGCTTTATTGTAGTCCATGTATGTTGATATACTTATTCCATGATAATTATATGTTTATCCTTTTGTGTGATGTAAATTAAATGCTGAATGGCAGTTCATGCAGGGAAAGAACATATCAATATTCGCATATTCATTCAAAAACATGAAAATTCTTAATGGAGTACCCTCATTTCTTATTGAATTCCTAAAAAACAATATTTATAATGAATTTTAATAATTTTTTCGGATTTTTTTTAAGCTTTATTCTGAACGATTCACCCGATTCCCGATCCTGATCGCCGATTCGCCGATCCGGATCGGTTTTTTGGAAGCCCGATCCCGGTCACCAATCCGTTTTTTAAACCATTGTATAATAATAATAATAATAATAATAATAATAATAATAATAATAATAATAACAATAATCATCATCATCATCATCATCATCATCATCATCATCACTAGAATCTTATTTCAACTACGTAAGTATTCTTATCTTTTGAAGCTATACCTAAATTTTTTTAAATTTATTCATTCCAAATTCTATCATTTATTTTTATGTTACTCATTCATCTTATCCCAACAATTTGAGCCTTCTTATCTATTGAAGTTACGTCTAAGTTCCCTTAAATTTATTCATTCTAAATTTTATCACCTATTTTCTTCTCATTCATCCAACTCAACATCTTATTTTATTGATACGTTATTTTTTTAGCGCCAAACATTCCATCTCATAAAGCATAACTGGTTCTAAAGCAATTATATCGAACTTCCCTTTCAGTTTTATTGATATGTGATGATTACATCTGGCTCTAGAAACCCATCTTTGTTTCGTCCACTTAACTCTAATTCTATGAGTAAATAAGCATCATCATCATGCGAGTTTTATCCCAGCTATTTGGGGTCCACTACATTAATCATGTTTTGTCATTCCCCTCAAAGTACAAATAAGATAATGATTTTAAAACACAAATGTATAAAAAAAATCGTTCAATTTTGTTTAATTAATATAATCAATGGATGATATACAATGAGACTATTTACTTTTGATATATGGAGGTCGCAATTACTTAACCATCCGATGCAAAATCTGATAGCTTGGGTGTGTTGCAAAGTTCGAGAAAAATTCTTTCCAACTTTGAGCTTGGTCAATGAAATAAATGCAGCCACCCAATTTCATATACAATCGTCAAGATTAATTATAACCACCTTGTACCAATGGTAAATGGTCTCATTGTATACTTTCACTATAATCAGTCAAAACTAACATTCCAACCAATGAAAACTGAACAAGTATTGATTTTGACTAATTTTTTTCCAAACTTGATTTTTATTTTTTACCAAATCAACACTTTGTTGACATTCTAACTGCCTTGGCCATCCAGTCTAGTCTGGTCATCGTAGCATGAGATGGAGAGATCGACTATGGATGCATGTTGCGAGAGGAATGTACATTAGATAAGGGTATGGTTTCTACAAGGTTGCAACCTTAAACAATCCAATTAAGGTATACCTCCAAATTTTATCTAACATGTAATTTTGGTATAAAAAACTCTTAGGATTAAAATAAAGTAGATCTATAAATATATGAAAAACTTGAAAATGGATGCTCTAGATAATGTGTTGTAAGTTGCATTATTTATGGGACTCAAAATTGGTTGTTTTTATTTTTTATTTCATACATCTCAATGTCGAGATGATCAATTAGAGGGTTTTCCAAGATGGAGGCAAGTAGGTGTTCCATCTAAATACAATGGAAACTAACAGTCCAAATGTTCTCTTACTAAAAATGATTATTTATAGTTTTTTAAATTACTTTTTTTTTCATATTCATGATCTTCATATTAGATACTACATATCATTCAAAATAAATTCAAAAAATACATCTTAAAAATAGATTTATTAATAAACCCGCATTTCTATATATGCAGACTTGGCCGCATAGTCCTAAACTTTTTCCATTAGATAAAGAATGAATTGTGTACATTTGCTAGAGAAAGATTGATCTGTGTACATAACATATTTGCACTCATGACCAGCTCCCACTCACTTAGATCGATACTATATATGTTTTAAAACCAATGATTCAAAATCTAAATCAACCCATAATCAAAAGAGATCGAACCAATTTCAGTAAGGTATTGGTCCGCCATGGTTCCCCTAAAACGGCTTATTAAATATTTTTTATTTTTTAAAATTTATCTAATATTTTTTTAAGACCTTCTAAGTCTTCGCCCCAAAAACCCCACTGTAAAATTAATGCGTATTTTAATTTTTAATTTTTAATTTTTTTTATATTACTAATTTGGCCCATTCAAATTGCCGATCCAACCATCCAACATTGCTGAGCTGAATGAGAAATACTCCAAGGGTTCCAAAAGTTTTACTTCCAATGAATGAAAGGAAATTATAAAAAATATCCTCATTTTTTTAGATTATTAAAAATAAACTCCAATTTGTTCAAAAGCTCATTCATACCTTTTTTTCAATACTTTTTACATTTTTTTGACGAAAATATATTTTACATTAGTTTTAGGTCTATGAAAGCATCACGGTCAACCAAGAACCATGATGGTCATAGCGGGTTCTTAGTAACTTTGTATTGGGTTTAAATCATCACGGTTCTAAGAGAACCGTGTTTGAAGCATCACGACACTTAAAGCATTGTGATCGGTTATTCAACTATCACATTTTTAATTAAAATGTGACAGTATTATGTTTTCAAATTGGAAGAGGCGGTTTTATGCGACAGGTGAGAGATTTCCGTGATGGGTATTATGGTGGTGCAAGATCTGTGATAGTCAAGGTGATCACCACAGTTGTAAGTACCGTGATGGTTCTAATGCTGCCATCACGATTATGTAAGTAACGTGATGGTTCTAATGTTGCCCCTATCATCACGGTCCTAATAGAACAGTGATGACTTAAGTCCTACACCAACAACATTTGAACACTCCATGATCTTGTTTATTCACCAATTTTATATGCAAATCTAGGTTAATAGCAAAATCACGTCGTTTTTTGTGGCGGAAGTTACATATTACAATAGGTTAATATTGGCTTCTACTATCATTATTCACATTGTTTCTTTTGATTCACTGCAATCTGTTTATTGTTGCCTTTTGTTATCAATATTCACTCTATTCTTCTGAATCACTCGGTAATATCCTTGTGTGGATATCCCATGAACCATCTCACTACCATTTTGTTATGTTTATTACTTGTAAAGTGCATAAAACGGGGGTACAAGATACCCAATTTAAATTATTTAACCAGAAAAAATCTATTGAAAATTGCACAAAACAACAAATTGTAGGGCCCTATAATGGTGTGTTGGGTTTTTGTAATCTCGGCTTACTGGTTTCTCTTTGTTTGTTACTGATCTTTGCTTTTTGTAAATATCTCATACAAATTTTGTCTTTTTCTTGTTGTCTATATTGGATATTTGTGACGATCGTGTTTAATTTTATCTAGCAATTTTTATTCCTTTTTTATAGTTTTTATGTTTGAATTTTCAGATATTCTTTAGTTTGATTTATATGTTATAAATTTGGCTGAACATAATGGTGAGAGAAGGATAAATTTTGTGACCTCGAAAACCTTGGCATAATTTCCAAATTTATATATTGTATATCAAAAGTAATGGCCTTTAGATGATTTTTTTTTTGGATGTCTACATGTTGAGCCATAACTTTTTTTCTTTTATTTAGGCGCATATGATTTTGTTTCACTTGTTCTTTTATTTTTAAGCAACCCATGTGCAAAGTATAAGCTTTATTGTATTATGAATGATGACGGTTAAATAACGTACTGAGCTTTAATATGCAAATGCTTGGATGGGATGATATATGATATATGTGATGAATTTATAATGGAATTTTGATGGTGTGCATGCTAAAGCTGTTGTGCAGCACTGACTCTAACTGGTTGAATTGAGTTGCTTATTTGAGTTTGAAAACTTAGATTGGAATTAATGCCCAATATGTTGGGGCTGCTGTCATACACTGTAGAGAGGGTAAGACTGATATTTGTTGATGATAATGGAATAATACAATCTTGCTGTGCTGAACCGATGATACCATGTTTAGGGTTTCCATATGGATAGAAGAACTTGAAGTGCATTTGAAAATGGGACACATAAATGTGCTTATTCTTTGTAATGATTTTTCTATGGTATATTGATCGTTCAATTGAATATTTGGAATGGTTCTTCTGTGATATCTGAATTTAATAGGCATGGAGACCCAACCTTCAATTATGCCTTCAACTTCAACTAACAAATGTATTTCGTATAGTTTTTTTTATATAATTAATTAGGAAATATAAATAATCGTATAATGAAATTGCTATAAAATGGTTGGGCTACTGTATATATTTGATTACATTTTTGGACTGCCTAAACTATTTTTCTTGGTTGACCTATTATAGATGATATATTGGGTTCTCGTTGAAAAAATTAATATTAACCCCAAATACAAATTTTTCCATCATCATCATCATTTTAGTCTTTTATCAATTAATTAGGATCAACTACATGAATATTGGTTTTTTAGCCTTTTTTCAATTAATTGGGATAAGCTACATGAATATTGGTTTTTCATTATGCTTTATTAAATGTCATATCTTCACTGAGGCCATAAGTCTTCAAATCACGTCTTTTTGGGTCTATCCCCTATCATTTTCAATCATTCCACTTAAACTACCTCGCACCTCTTAACAAGTGTTGTCCTTAGTCAACGCCACATTATGACCAACCTACCTAAATCTAGTATCTATCATTTTATTGCCTATTGGTGCCATGCCTAAATTCTCTCGAATAGATTCATCTCGAATTCTATCTTTTATTGTCTTGCCGCTCATCCATCTTTTTCATGTATATGTCAAATTCTTTCATGTATGGGTTAAATTGGTCAGTTACTAGGTATTCCGGTTTGATAACTTTCAGGTGGAGGTTTCTAGGATCCCCCTAAATTTCAAACAAGTTACCAAACATAGTACTTTCCAGTATTACAAGCCAGGTCATTCAAATTCATAGGTAGAAGGAACTTCCAAGTTTCATATAACACGAGCTTCCAGTTGCCAAACAAGGCCTAAAAGTAAAACACACTTATAAATTTTGTTCACTAATACGTTTCATTGTCAAAATCTTATGATGGTCTAGATTAAACAGATCTATAAACCCTTGAGAATCTTTAAAAATATGGTCTACGTAAACTTCTAAAAGATGTATTATTTTTTATTTTTTATATTCATATGTCTCGAAATCAAACCAGTCAATTATAAAGTTAAACTTGAAATCCTCTTATTTATGCGTTATAAAGTTTAGATAAATTTTCTCATGTTTTCAATTTATTAGGCCTATCTGCCTGTGAACAGATCCGGTTTCAGTTTACTAGGACTGTCTGCCTATGAACAGATACGGTTCTTCCAGTTCAATAAAAAAGTGCCCTCACCAGTCCGGTCCTGACTACATTGCTTTTCAGGCCATTCGAAATTGTAATGTGAAAACCCAAAACAAACGTTTCACTGAGGTTTGTAGCAGAAGGGGAAGAGGGAGAAAATAATGACGTCTCTGTCAAAATGGAGGAAATTCCAATCTCTCATGCCTGCTTTGAAGAATGACACACTCAGGCAGCTGCACAGCGGCCCCGACACAGTGGAGGAGCTCCTCGACCGGCATCTCGTCAAGAAAGAGACGAATAAAGGCGGCGGGAATGGCGAAGAGGAGGAAGCGGTCCTGAGACAGAGGCTCACGAGCAGTAGAAGAGAGGCTCTGAGCCTCTACAGGGACATAATTAGGGCGACAAGGTTCTTCTTGTGGCCTGATCAGAGAGGGGTGCTCTGGCGCGACGTGCTGAGGGAGAATGCTCGTCGCGAGTTCGAGGAGGCGAGGTTTGAGAGGGATCCGGAGGTGATTACACGGCTTCTTATCAGGGGAAGGGACTCCGTGCATAATGCCCTTGAGAAGCTCGCCGAGAAGCACAGGGTGATGCTTGACAAGGATCGGGACCAGTAAGTCTCTCTCTCTCTCTCTCTGCATTTTATAATTCTGTTTGTTTTTTGTTTGTGAATTTGCCATGGGAATGATGTCTTTCTCTCTCTCTTAAATTTTCAAGTTTTTTTAGCTGTTAATTTTGAATGTAGATGATGATTCACTTTTTTATTTTTAACATTTGGGGAATGCTTATTCAGTTCAAATGTTGTGGTTTAGATGGCTCTTTCACCGCAAATTGGATTGTTTTGCATTGTTTTATTTTTCCCTGATTCATTTCTCCATCCAATTTCGTCGTACTTTCGCCACAAAATTCAACTGCTTGCATTTTTTTATCCTTTTTTGTCTCCGATTCTTTTCTCCACTAAAATTTGCGACTCTAAGCCCTGCAAAATCCAATTGCTTGCATTTATTCATCTTTTTTATTTTCCTGATTCATTTATTCATTGAAGTTGCAAGTTTAGATTTCCCATAGCATCTGAGAATATGCCAGAATCCCCAAGTAAACATCTTGTTCCTGCCCCACCATTGTTTTTCCATTTCATATCCTTGATTCATTGAAGTATTGAGATCTGTTGCTCCATATAAAGTGTCTTATCATTTATTTTTCGTTTTTTCTCTTTTCTCCTTTTCAAGTTTGTTCCTCACCATTTGCTGTTTTAGATGTTTCAACAAGCCTAAACATGAAAGAAAAAACAATGTCAATCCTTTCCAGATGCATTTGGTTGAAGTTTGTTGCCTAAGTGGCTCCATTTCTGTGATATTGTTGTTGTGCTGCTGTTGTGGCTGTTTATAAATCTTTATTGGTGTCTCTTAAATGTGACATGTTTATTTTTAGTTAATGTGATATCTAATTTGGAATAGCTTAACTGATAAGCTCATTCGTGAACATTCCAGGCAAAGGAGGTAACTTGCTGCATTCCGTTGCAAGTGATGACTTGTGCAGGATCATGTGGATAATGATGACTTCAAATTGTATACAAGGATGTGTATGGTATACCACTATACCTAGAATCGGAATGCCTTAGGCGCCTTTTGTGTGATGCATGCAAATCTCACCAGGGCTTTGCAGAGATCGTTATTATGTAACATTTCAATGGAGTTTGTAAAGTTCCAGCTGTTACAATATTCTTTAGCTTATATATATCTCTTAACAAATATTACATTTTTCATTTTTTTTGAAGAAATTAACTTTTTGTGTTAAGTAAAAGAGATGCACAGATTGCTATTGGAATTTGGTATGCATAACTGTGTTGGGTATAGAAGGTTTGTACAAAAAATGGGTAAAAGGTGAAACAATCTATAGGTCTTAAGGCCTATGGATTGCGAGCTTTGTGCCTGAAGCACTGTCTTTCATGAAGGAGCAGACATTTGTGTTTGCTTCTCTCCACAATTGTCTAGAATGCTGCGTAACTTGAAAATTTCTTCAAAAATGGCTTCCAGTCTCCAAGGGAAGGGGGGCAGATTTGTTTGTTCAGTTAATCACATTCGTAGAATACTCTTCAACTAACACACAGCAAGGCCTGGGCTTCAGCAATGGTGGTGTTGGTGACCCCGATTGGACAGTCTAGGCCGAACAGTTTCTGAAAGTATCCCCAATCTCAGCTAGACTGCAGGTTGCCAGAAGCGCAGCCGTTGAAGTTGAGTTTTTCACACCTGGGGTAGGAGGGATCCAATGAGTGGCCTTGAGATTGTCATCAGCTTAGTCCATAGGAGTTTTTCTCATTGCAGTTTGAAGCCTGTTTTGGAGTATGCACCAAGCTCTTGCTGGTGTGAGCCCACAAAATAATGCTGGCTTTAACACAAACTTTGATCATGTTAGTCTGGGGTTCTTAACTTTTGAAAAGTGCATGTTGTGCCCTAGCCAAATGGTCCAGACTACAAATAGGAGAGACCCCCACCACATTTGCAGGCCAAAAGTTGAGAAAGGGGGTGAGAAGTGGGAGGAGAAAAGGTGTTGTACAGTTTTGGGTGTTACTTAGCCCAACCGAAGTTCTCTGCACTTCACAATGAATGAAATGATGGTCTCTTGTTTCCTCACTGTCCTTACACATGATGCATCTGCTGGGAAGGTAGATTGGTCTCCAAATTTGTCATTTGTGAGGGCTTTTCTGGATATGACAATCCAATTAAAAGCGTCAACTTTAGGTGGGCAGGGAGAAACCAGGTTCTAGATCCAAGTGCCAGGTTCAAGTTGAGGTTCAGGTCCGCATAGGAGGATACAAAGACACCTGTTGAGGAAGGGTGCCATACAATTTTTTCTCTTCCAGATTGGTGGATGAAGTGGGGCTTAAGGCATTCCAGCAAGACAACAAGATCCAAAAACATCGTTATTGATGTTTCTCCTAAACCTCGGTAACTAGATAATGCTACCATCAGGCGACTCGTATGTCTGGGAGATGGGAACTCCTTGATCTGATGCTAAGATGAGGACGTTTTGGAAGTCAACCAACCTCCAGGGATCTCTCACTGCACCAAGTATCCTTCTAGAACCTGCTGCTTCTCCCTGTTTTGCTGGTGGATTTGACATGGCGTATCACCAAATGTCCAAATCTAACATAGCCCTGCTCTTTTAGCTTTACACGCAGTGTCCTACATTGCTAGATAAAACTTATGTGAGTCTCTAGCACCAACCCACATGAAGTCCCACTTTCGACATCATAAAATGCTCACAATAGCCGCTAGCATTCAAAAGAGGGATAGGTGATAGATCAAGATATTTGAGAACGTAGAGGAGTCTACCTTTCCAGGCTGCTAGTCTGTGATCGAACCTCAAGACAACTCCATCCCTTCAAGCCTTTCTAGCTACATCCAGGTAGAGAGGTAGGTCCAGGTTTTTGTTGAGAAGGGAGTCTGTGTTGCACCCCAATCTTCTGGGCAATGCCAAAGCGATGCCTGGGAGGGACACATACAGCTATCAGCTTGGTTGTGGACGTGCTGATTTTTAAACTGGTTGAGATCTCAAAGCACATGAGAAATAAACAAAGGTTATCCATTCGCACAGGGTTGGTGCGCATAGGACTAAAGTTTATCTACATATTGCATCAGGGAGTTTGCAGGTTTCCTCCTGGAAGAGGAGAAGCCTTGTAACTGATTTGTAGTCCATTTAATTAAATGGATGGTTTAGAGGGATGCTGATATAGACATAAAGAGGAATGTTCATTTTTTAAATCCGAACCAATGATGTAGATAGGATTAGGTTTTATATATATTTTTTGTTCATTGGGTTTGGGTAGTTGAAAGATGCATTCAATCACAGAATGGATGAACAATTGAGATGGGTGTTATGAAACAATTGCTTTGAAAGTCTGGTGTTTTACAACCCTCTATCTTACATGGTTTGTAGTCAAGCCTTTGTAAAGGGTAATTAGCTAGTTCAATTGTGTTCTACCCTGTTACCTTGTGATAATGTTAAATCTCATGTGTGGTTGTGGTAACTTTTCACTTTCTATGGAGGCGTATTGGTTCTTAATCCTCAATAACCTTATGACTTTGTTTTTATTTTAAGACTTATCGTTCTATTATAATTCATTCTTGGTCATGATTAAAATGTAACCAGTGGTTGCATGTGAGGATAGGGATGTTTGTACTGCAAGGAACTGAATATGAAGTTCTTTTAGAACTGAATATGAAGTTCTTTTCTCATTCTGTTTTTCTGTTTTGTTTTTTGTTTTTGTCATTATCGTTTGTTAGAAACTCGGTCTGGTCCCATGGTCGATATGTTTGCTTGCTAATCCTCCAATAATGGCATGGTTCAATGGGTATGCTACAATCTACTCAAATTTTGGTCTAGTGCCACGAGAAGTCCTAGTATTTGTTCTATTTGGACCGCACACAGAAGGTTTCATACTTTCATCTGCATCTGAAAGGTCGATCAAATAGTATCCCTAAATGAAAGTTGCCATGTTTTTAATACATTTTTCTTAATCTAACTGATAATATCTAGATTTGTTCGACTTCATATTTACTTGACAGTAATGGAACCATTTAATTTTCTCTGTTACACTACATCAGGTTTCATTTGGCAGTGGGGTGCAATGGATCCCAATATTGATGTTATATTGATTCTATCCTGCACATAATCATCTTCCATCCTTAGAGACCCAAATTTCCAAGTTTCTTCAAGAAATTTGTGTTCGGTCAACAAGAGTCAATGGCCTATTCTTTTCTCCAATTTGAAAATCACAATCGGATAAGGAATTTGCCCAATCCGGACCAGGAATTGGTCGAGACCGAACCTGTTTTGGGAAGGGCTTGGTTCCGGCCTGGTCTCGCCTTAAAAATCCCCCTTTATATCTTTTTTCCTTTTTTAAACTTTTTTAATGTTTCCTTTGGTATATTAGTAAATCATAACTTGTAAACCTCTCTTTTAATTTTTTTAATTTTTTATTTTTTTATTTTTGGATTGCCGATTTGAATGGATCTGGATTGGCAATCTGGCGATCCGACACAGAATTGGTGGGTGGACGATCCACCCTACCGATCCTTTTTTTAAAAAAACACTGCCACTTTCTATCAGGCATTGAGCTAGGATTCAAATCATGAATGGAAAATGGTTTGATAGGGGTGCAGCCCTATCAAAATAAGTAAAACCGCACCTCATAACTCATCGAAATTGCAATTCAAGCATTAGAAAACCTTTACATCGATCAACTTGGCTTGAACATTATGATTATGAAAAAAAATAGAATTTCAAGCTCTAAAAAAAGTATATATGGTACTTCATCAAAAAAAAATAAGTGTATATGGTAACAAATTATCTAGACCGTTCATTTCGTCCTAAAAGTAAGTGTTAATAGATCCGCAAGATCTGTAGCATTTTATGAGTTTCGAAATTTATTATCGGTGTTGGAAATTGATTTTAAAGCCATCATGGAGATTTCCGTTGCCGAAGGTGCTTTCCGGATGACGATTTCAAGTGAGGCTTTATTTTGTTGTCATAAAGACTAAGACTAGGCCTTATAGAATCCTCATCCTGAATGAATTCTAGTTCTGAGGCCCCTAACCACTGGTACAATAGGATGATTAGCAATTTACATCATGTCTCCCCTTTGATCTAATCCTACTTATGTTGCTTTTTCTAGATTTTGATCTCCCATATTTTTTTATATAAAATTTGAAATGACACATGTATTTCTGTCAATTTAAAATAGTAACTTCGAAAATGCAAATGTTGTAGATAATCTAAATAGTAGTGGATTTGTTTTCCACAATTGAAGGAATACGATATCCTACTATCATCACTACCAGTTTTCTTAAAGCAAGGGACTCAGTTTGGGACTTGCCAGGGTCCTGAGTCCGAGTCAGGCAACTTGGTTTCGGCCAACTTGGTCAGAGAATTTGGCCGAGTCTTGAAACATTAACAATAAAACCTTGGGAACTGGGAAAACTTGGACGGTTCCCAAGGCTTGTGTTCTAGACTTTGTAGGTTGTTGAGCCCTATCAACTCGGGTGACTCTGACTCGGACTCACTGAATTTCGAACACTGATGACTACTTTTAGAATGTGAACCCCAACATTGGTGGAACTCAGCAATTGCTCATGGGATCTTCCTCAACAACTTGGGCCATATTTGCCTTGCATACTTGCACTTGACAGTTTTGGCATGTATCTTGTACATAATTGTGAAACATTTCAGAAATCTTTTGCTTAACAACTGAATTACAAATACAATTTATTTTTTAAATCTAATCAATAGGTAAGTCCTTTGGCCCGTGACTTTACACGAGTGATATGTGCTTTATCACACTTGCAAGTATCAACAACTCACATTTTTGTGTTCCTGCACATGCGCAAAAATATAATTTTCTAATTGTTCTGGAATATATATATATTTGGAATTACTCTGTCTCCTATTTACTTGAATGTGTCAACCTCTTCTGTGGTTCAAAATGTCAAGATTTGTGATTATTGATGTAAGACTTCTGATGCACACTCCCTGCAAGCAATATACTTTTAAGTTGTTCTGATTTGGCCATATCTACTTACATTTACTCCATAAGGTCCTTCATGATTTTGTTTGACAGGGAAATTGGTTTTGAAATGCCCCAAGGATCTTGCAGCGTTTATTTCTGATCATTTGCTCTTGAATCCTCTCTTGTGGACCTGTCATAGCGGTCTTCAATTGACAGAGAATTTCAAACTACTTCTACAAATGTGTGCGTGCACTTTGCTGGTCCTTCCTTTGCTCAAAACCACATTAAATTGTGGATAATTTGACAAGGAAGTGTCTCATCAACTTAGTCTAAGAGTGTTACAAGGACAAATGATCAAGATACTCACCCACATGAACCAAATAAAAGAAGAGAACAAGAAAAGTCTATCTATGACAAGCACTCAAAATGTAAAACTGCTGTTTTACTATGGACACACACAACGTGTATAAATACAAGGGGGCAGGGAGGAAGGGATGATGGAGAGGAAGGGAGGGATAGACAGTTGAAGCATTCAATCAGCTAAGGAATCGCAAACAATGCTGGTGAAATTGTTATTAGCTGGATTGAGGACTATACATTAGGCTACTCATTTGTGATATTTGGCCCAACTTTTGTGCAAGTTGAACTGTTTGTAATTGTACTATGTTTCTTGCTGCCTGGCAGGAAGGATTTATTATGGTTATTTCCTCTCTTATGAGCTACATTAGCAAGATACCAGATGTATATGATGGCTTATTGAATTTCCATTCTATTGACCATGTTCTACTGATTTGATTAAAAAAAGAAAACATGTTTAATTGAAAGTTTAAGTGACATAAGGGATGTTGTCTCTTGCTCGAATCACACTTCTTGTTAAGGTTTTGTTTTCTGGAATCCCCAAGCACCATCTATCCATTCATTAGCTAATTTTGCATTTGTTGTTGGTTATGGGCTTTCCAGATAACAAGTCAATCATATTCTGTTACGGATATGGTATGCGTAACTGCCATGGAGTGTGTTATTTGAGGCTTTCTAAAAATCGGCACCTGCGTGTTTGCTCGACTTGTTGAGGGCTTGAGGCAGTTTGTATTAGTTTTGGAAGGAATATACATCTATCTGCTGCCATTAGAAATATACTGAAAGTCTATTTGCACTTGTAGTACATAAACATAACGATGAATTGAATTTGGGGTTTAAAACCACCTAAACCTGCTGCTATAAACACAGTAATTTAGAATCAATGAAGTATATACTTATCTCATGGAACTAGATACACGGTTGAGTTTTATAAGGAATTGAATATCTAAACGACAAATGCTGATCATAGAGTATCAGCATATTTTTATTTAAGTACAACATTCTGCATAATGTCATGCTTTAGTGGAGAATAGGAGGGGGCTTTTCAGTTTTTTTTTATATCTTGATCCAAATGTATTGTAACAGTCGAGCATTTGAGCTGACTCATATATTTTCTCTGGTCTTTTGTCTTTTTAGATGTGTGGATAGGCTATCTGGGATTCAACCCAGACCCTAAGGGTGGAAACGAAGAGCTCTACACCTTCATTGAAGCTCTTGACCCCAAAGCTAGTCACAATTATTACTTAAGCCTAGGTCCTTAGAAACCGGGATTCTTATTTATTTATTACCAATAATCAGCACAGCAGCAATATCCATCTCTGAAGTGGTGAAAGAGTCTGGGATCCCTCACAATAATCTCTCTCTTAACTTTCTCAGAAATCATCTTTAGAGCATGGTGACAATCTCCACATAACCGAACATTCTTTCTAATAAGGATGGGTGTCCCGATAGTGGAAGAGATCAACCCAAGACTAAGCGCTAACCTTATGCTATGGTTGGTGGGTGTATTTGCTCTTTTCTTCCCTATATCTTGCAGTCTAAACTTGGTCCCTGGGCTATATGCTAATTCACCGATAAGCCTAGACAAAATACCTGACACTCTATAAATTGTCTCAGATTCTGGGTGATCTCTTTCCCCATATAAGAAACTGCAAGTCTCACTGCTCAACTCTACCACATTGCACCCCCTCGTCTTTTCCAACCCTTTCTCTCTCAGTGTCAATCTCACCTCTTCAACATCTTCCCATCTCCCTGCTGCTGCATACATGTTGGAGAGAAGTATGTAGCAGCCGGTGTTGTCGTGATCTAATTTAAGCAAGTTTTTGGCCACACGCTCCGCTAATTCTATGTGGCCATGAAATCTACATGCTTTTAATAGAGATCCCCATATTCTTGGTGTGGGCTTTGTAGGCATCTGCCTGACGAAAATCTCCGCTTGGTCCAGGCATCCAATTCGACCGAGGAGGTCGACCATGCAAGCATAGTGCTCTATCCAAGGGTCAATTTCATAGTCTTTTTGCATCGAATTGAAATGCTTCCATCCTTCATCTACCATACCAGAATGGCTACATGATGTTAAAACCGAGACAAAGGTGCTCCCATTTGGTGTTATACCCATGTTTTTCATCATAGAGAAGAGGTCAAGCGCATCATGCCCATACCCATGGATCCCATATGCCATGATGATGACATTCAATGACACCACATCCTTGCTCTGAATTCCATCAAAAACTCTTGTTGCAAGCTGCAAATTGCCACATTTTGCGTACATATAAACAAGGGAATTCAGGATGAAAGTGTCCAAGCCCAACTCTGATTTCACCACATAACCATGGATCTGGTTCCCTTCTCGGAGAGATGCTATCTCACCGTAGGCTGATAGGACACTTGCAATGGTGGTTGCATCCGGCTCCATAGGAACATGCCATAGGCTATGGAACAGTGCTATAGCCTCTTTGTTTTGCCCATTTTGTGCAAAACCAGCAATCATTGCATTGCAAGAGACCAAGTTCTTCTCAACCATCCTTTCAAATAGCTTTTGGGCATACTCTAACTCCTTGCATTTGGCATATGTGTCCAGCAAAGCAGTTTCCAATACCAGATGGGAGCAAAACTGGTCTCCTTTATTTTCTTTGATTAGTGACAGAAACCCTTTTCTCAGTGAGAACCCATGAATGGATTTCCCTGGCAATAGAGCTTCTATATGTGCACAAGCCGGCAGCAAGTTCACCATAGTGATTGGATCAGGACATAACTTTTCTTGCATTTGCATCTTGGAGAATGAATCAATTGCCTTTTGGGCAAGCTTATTACGAGCATAACCAGATATCAATGTGTTCCAAGCAACCGAGTTTCGCATCGACATCTTGCCAAAATGCCCCTCAGCAGCCCTTACGTCCCTACACTTGAAATACATGTCCAGAAGTGATGTTTCGAGCATTGGGTCTGGTAAAAACCCTAATCTTAGTGTTTTGCAATGTATCTCTTTGCCATAAACCCTAGATTTATCGAGCGTGCTTGCAGGGAGAGCGCAAAGCAGGGTGAACCTGTCTGGTTCGAACCCAAAGAGCTGCATTTCTCCGAGGCACAAAAGGGCTTCATGTCCATAAGCATTGGAAGCGTACCCTGCTATTAGGGAATTCCATGAAACAATATCTCTTTCTGGCATTTCATCAAATACCAATTCCCCAGCGTGCATTTCTTTGCATTTGCAGTACATTGTTATGAGAGAATTGGCAACAAAAAGGGCAGTATCTAACCCTGTTTTGACCAATTTACAGTGGACTTTCTTCCCTTCTGCTATATTAGATAACCTAGCGCAGGCTTTGAGAACAAAAGGGTAGGTGAAATGGTCTGGAATCACACCATTAGATTGCATTTGGTAATAAAATTCAATGGCTTCATGGAAGAATCCATTTTGGACATAGCCTTTGATCATTATGTTCCACAAGAGAGGATCTAAGGTTTTCATACTGTGAAAGAGATGGAGGGCTGTTTCTGTTTGTCCGGAATTCAGGAAAGCGTGAAGGGAGTCAGGAACCGAGAAGTAATTACAGGGTTTGCGACTGTTTTTTGTTGCCATGGCTTGGATTGCAGTTGAGGAGTTGGAACGTTGCCTGTGTTTTCTGGGTATGGAATCTTGAGGGGGGATTGGTTTCATGAAGGGGTTATGAGGGATGATGGCCATGAGGGGTGGACAAGAGAGAGAGAGAGAGAGAGAGAGAGAGAGAGAGATCAAAGTTGTTGGGTTGCTTTGCACTCTAGGGCATTCAAATAGGTTGGTCTTGGACCCTTATTTTTTTGGCGCCAAAGGCTAACAGTCATTCTCTGCAGTTTGTGGATGTGCTGAGGCTATTTCATCTCTCTGAATTTTGGGTAGAGAGAGAGAGTTTAAAATTAAATAAAATTACTGAAATACCCTTGAATATTATAGGAGTATCATAGTTATTTCTTATTTTTGAATTATTTTTTGAAATTTTTTGTAGGTTCATAATAGTCAAAAAGTATGGAATTACCAGATTTTAGCTTAATCCTATGTATAAAAAAAGAGAAATTTGAAATACACTTTATGATCTCAAAAGAGAGACATGAGTGTAAAAATAAAAATATATTGAAAATATTTTTAAATTCTAAAAATCAAGAAGGATTTTTCTATAAATTTATGTAAACCAGTGATTTAAAAATCGGCGAGTTGCAACGGATTCACCCGATTTAAGGAATCGGTTACCTCGTGTCAATTTCAATATAAAATCGGGAACTAGCCGGTTCTAGAATGAAAGTCGCCCATATGGGGCCACATGGAGACATAAGGAGACATGGAGAGTTACATGAGGAGTTAACACGTGGCAACCGTGTCGGTTCTAGAATGAAAGTCGCTCGTATGATGTCACATGGCAAGTCACATAACGAGTTAACACGTTACCGATTTTCGGTTGTTCACACGCGGAAGACTACCGTCACCCATCTGATGTGCGTAGATGGCAACTTCGGGCACACGCGTTCAAACCTTAAGGAACTTACAAATCAATTTATAGAAGCAAAACTAAAGCTTGCTGTAGGATGTGGGATAATTCCCGCGGTGCATTAAATTACGACGGAATTTGGATAAGTATTATTAATGTAAAAAACAATTACACTTGCGTTGATGTGGTGGAGTGATTATCACTTCCACGTTAAGCCTTCGTGTTTCAAGTACGATTCTGTCTTGACACATTTTATTTTATTTTTGTTGACATTAAAAATAAGCAAAAAATAAAAAAATTTTAAAAAAATTATTTATTTTAAAAAAAATGATTTTTTTTGAAATCTCTTTCTTTCTATTAACAATCTTTTTCTACTAAATTTATTCTATAAATCTAAAAATTATTTTTTTAAAAAGAAATTTATGCCATTTGAAATCTCTCTCTTTCTATTAACAATATCTTTTACTAAATTTATTCTAGAAATCTAAAAAATTAAAGTGTTATTTCGAAAATTAGTATGCATTCTAATAATTTCTAACCAATTTTTTATTTTATTTATTAATTTTTACATTATAAGTCATGTAATTTATTATCTTAATCTAAAAAATTAAAATTTTGAAAACTTAAAGTGTTCTTTTGAAAATTGGTGTGCATTTTAATAATTTCTAACCAAATTTTTATTTTATTTATTCATTTTTGCATTATAAATCATGTAATTTATATCTGTCTTACAGTTCTCAATAATACATTTTAAATTAGATCGTATTACAAAATATTTTATATTTGTTATTATTTGTATAATAAAATAATTATAAAATTTAAACCAACAATTTTAATTTTAGCATATAACATTATAGTTAGTTAGGTTGTAATAAATTTGGATTATAGTTAATTTGTATATTTTTAGGGGATTAGGGTTTTCTGCTAATTTGAGATTGTGATGGTCATTTTTTATCGATTAAATCTGCTCTTTATAGTAGTCCATGTATGATTATATATTTTATCCATGATAATTATATGATTTTTCTTATGTGTGATATAAATGTAATGGTTAACATAAGTTTATACAGAGAAAAAACATATCAATATTCACAAATTAATGAAAAAATTGAAAGTTAACAATGGAGTACCCTCATTTCTTAAGATTCCTAAAAGACAACAGTTATAATTAAATTAATACTTTTTTTGGATTTTTTTAGAGCTTAATCTGATCGAGTCGATCGATTCCCGATCCGAATTGTCCGATTTATCGATCCGGATGGTTTTTTAAATGTCCGATCCGAGACACTGATCCATTTTTTAAATCACTGCTGTAGACTAATTTATTATTACTTTGGAGCTATTATTGATTTTCAGTGGGAGCATATTGTCTATTTGCTCAAGGTAAAACAAGATCTACGATTACTTTGGACGTTACATTTTGGAGTTGACCTCTTTAAACTAGCAAAATCTCAAAAACGTTCACATTGCTCTCTCTCTCTACCTGCTTGAAAGAAACGTCGTCCCAAGGTTAGTCTAAGAAGTATAGTATGGGGGTATAATAAAATTTCCCTTCTTTTTATCGTATAAATTCTGTCAAATACAATTAATTAATTGTATTTTTCCCTTTTAGATTACATGCTTATGAAAATAATTTCCTTGCAAATATTTTCTTGTCAAACTATTTCAATGAATTAAACGACCCATAGGTGTTTTATAACTCGAAATCCATTTTATTTTTGAAAATAATATATCTGATGATTTTTAGGTAGATCCCAATATTTATTGCAAGAACCTCCTAAGTAATTCTTTGCCCCCGTGGGAGTAAAGTGTGCAATATGCTCCTGCAAGAGCGCAGTATACACGGTATTAATAATAAATATCATTACCCCTTTCCCTTTTCAGTTTTAAAACCCTTTATATCAGTCGATATTGTTATATATTAGTTCTACTTCCCTCCGATCCAAACCCTAATCCCAGTATTTCGACATATGCTATAATCCTTGGAAAAAGGGGAAATATGTATCGTCTTAAAAATTGTTGTTCGGGATCAGTTTGACAGCTAATTTGGCCGATTCATCAGCCATATTGTCTTTAAATAACAAATATAACTTCATCTAAATGTGTTTGAATATTATGAATAGAGAAGATGATTCATGCAAGATTTTTGTCATTTTTTATCTGATTTTTTGTTTCACCTTTGATTCGGACCGGACGATCTTGATCGGTATAGGCCCAATGGAGGGCTGGTCTGCTCGTCCGATCTACGTTATACCATCTCCAGTTTTGCTCTCCAATGTTTTCGTCCATGAATTTGTCGACATGTGGCTGCCGCTATAATCATTACTCTGCTAACTCCTCCTCATTTTATGGTCTTGATTTCTATCCTGTCAACCATTTTTGTCTCTTAGATTTGAAATCGGAAGGTTAAAAATGTTTCATTTACCATGCTCAAAATTCCCAAAATAACTAAATAAATGTCAAACTACATGCTGTAACACATTTTCCAGATTGACTATTTACATAATCAAATTTTATGCAAAGGAAAAAACTTCATTGCCACTCCAAATTGGCACGTGCACTACATACAAGCCCCCTCTAGATTGCGTAATTGCATAAAATGTGTCTAATTTATTAGGAAAATATCTCCTAACTTTTTATTTTTAAGTTTTATATTTCGATAGGCTCGGGATTTCAAAACATATATATTAAGTCATAAAAATTTTAAGTTTTATATCTATTAACTCTCTAAACTAACTTTATCCCTTTTAAACTTATTTTTTTATCCCAAACAAATATATGAAAGATATTATTTTCTAAACAACATCATTTCTCTTTTTCACGTGATTTTCTCCAAATCTCTCTCTACCTATTTTCCCATTCTCTCTCCCCTGTATCTCACTCTCTCTCCCTCCGCCATCAAAGAGACAAAGAGGGTGAATGTTAGAGAGATAGAAATTTGGGGTGAATAGATCACGTAAAAAGATGAAGGGTTTAGAATGAGTATGTCTTTTTTATATTTGTTAGGGTTAAAAAAATAGTTAAAAGTAGATAAAGTTAGTTAGGAGGTTAAGAGATATATTTTGAATCATTAAGTCTATTGAGATATAAAAACCAAAAAAAAAAAAGTACAAGGATATTTCCCCATATTCATTTATTAATCACATACACATATGTAGCATGAGCTACCGTTAGCAAGACAAGGCCATCCTACCGTTAACAAGACAAGGCCGAACCACCGACTGGTGCTATAGCTAGTAGTCTAAATTAAAAATTGAGTTTATTACAAAATAGGTCAAAACTAATATTTGAGTGGTTTTAACCTATTGTTAAACAAAATTAGATAAATTTTTATAATATATTTTATATTTTTTAATTGAAAAAATATATAATGAAACCATTTACTTTTGGTACAAGGTGATCACAATTAATCTTGACCAAATGTGAAATTGGGTGGCTGTATTTATTTCATTGACCAAGCTCAAATTTCTTAAAAAAAAATTTCAAACGTTGTGACACACCCAAACGATCAGATTTCACATCGGATGGTTGTAAAGAATTGTGACCACTCTATACCAAAGGGGTCTCATTGTATACAATCTCTTTTAAGTTTTCATTTATTTATTTTTATATTTTAAAGAGTGATTTATGCACAAATCTTAAAATTTTAAGTAAAATACGAAATG